TGCCAGTCACCGCTGATTAGGCAAGGGGCCCTGGTAGCCCCACTGTTTGTTGCTGACCAGCCAGGATGCAAAAACAGCGCCATATTTAAAACCATGGTTTTCGCCTCCCCACTGATCAGGAGTGAATTGGCAGGAGTGGGGTACACGGTGGCTCCTTTGATTTTGCAGATTCCCCCATGTGCCCCTCTCCCCACCCCCCACACCACTTGCTGCTCACTCCTAATCACTGGGGAGGTGAAAACTGTGGTTTTAAATATAGTGCTGTTTTCGCCTTCCAGCATGGGCGACTGGTGCCCCCCAATTCTGGGGGATGACCAGTGGGGACAACCAAGGGGGTTGGGGAGAGGGGGGGCCCCCACCAGCCAGCTGGCAACCTGGGGGCGGGGTGGTCCCCAGCACCCAGTTGCCAAGCGTGCCAGCAATGGCTGCAGTGCCAGCACTTACGTATGCAGCAAGGTGGCAGAAGTGCTAGCACTTCCGCCGCTGGTGGAGCCAATTTCAGGGGGGGCAGTAGCGCTCTCTGTGCCCCCCTACCTGCCGGAGTGCTCACTGTCAGCGGGGACACCAGCACTCTCGGGGGGGGGGGCATATGCCCCCCTGGCCCCCCTACCTCCCGGAGGTCCCCCTTGCAGGGGGGACCCCCGCCCTCTCGGGGGGGGGGGCATATGCCCCCCTGGCCCCCCCCACACATTGCCTATGTCTTCCGGCTGGTCAGCAACAATCATCAGGGCTGCTAGGGCCCCTTGGCCAATCAGTAGCAAGCGACAAAAACGGCACCATATTTAAAACCATGGTTTTTGCCTCCCTGCCCATCAGGAGCGAATGGTGTGCATTGGGGCATCTCCACCTACCAACCACATGGAGGGCGCACGGGGGAACCTTTGAGATTAAAGAAGCCGCTGCACAGCCCACCCCTGTCATGAATTTGGTAGGTACCTACTCACAATCCTTCTCTTATGGGACAGTAAAGCAATCTGAGACACTGAGCGCACTCCAAGACAGACCCTGACCACAAATAAACTGCCCACTTAGTAGTGGGGTGACAGAATTCTCCCCTCCCTTCCTTTCCATTACCTCCCCCAGACATGTAGGTGAATTGGCGTGGGGTCCACTTCTCTCCCTGTAAAGTGATGCATTCGTCGGAGCCAGGAAGTAGCAGAGTGGTCCATGGGGTCCCAAACCAGGTTCTGGTGATTAATGTTCTGTCACTTATGCCTGGACTAGATCACATCTTTCAGAGCTGTGCTTTCAGCTGTCTGCATCAACTAGATTTGGTTCCCTTTTTCCCCAATTTGTTGGGATGACAAAAGCTAGAAATATTATGGTTTGCTTTTGTTTCTAATGAAAGCGGAGATTCTGTCGTGATCATACGATTCCCAAGGCTCAACACATACCCATGTTCCAGTGCTTTAATCTAAGCCTTCATGGGATTCAAATGTTTTGAAGAAGAAAAGCAGCTGCATTAACTCAGATACAAAAATATTTTTCACTGTTCCCAGTCTCTAGGAGAACAAGAATTTTGCCTTCTTTTATTGGAGTCTGGCAAACATTTACTAGCATATGCCAACCAATATCATAAGCCCAAACTGTACCCATGGTCAAGGCCATGGTATCTAACAAATATGAAAAGGAGCAAAATGTTGTTACTGAACCTTTCAGAAGTTTGATAAGTTGAAAATGAATTGTTTGCTTCCTCCTCTGACACAGAAAAACCTTCTTGGCTAGTCTATCAAACGGCTCCAATTTGTATTAAATGTTTTTTCCAGAGTAACTCCCTTTCCCCGTTTATTATTTATTTATGCTTGAAAAGGTCTCTCACTGCTCCCTCTGTTGCACCATTTGTTTTCTTAATATAGCCAGCACTCATTAAATACTTGCTGAGCAAAGGATGACTTTTCTTCGTTTTTCACGTTGCCTCAGATTCTCATATATTTTGAAGAAGGTAAATCTCTTCCTGTCTCTCCCTCTCTCTACAGTGCTTGATTTGTTACCTAGAAACTCTCAGATATCCACTCCAAGATTGCTGTAGGCTTTGATATTTCAGGTGTTTCCAAATTCTTTACTGCAGTGGTTCTGCATTAGATGCCACCCAGTATTATTCTCCAGGATCACAGACTGACCCCAAGAGGCGGAAAAGTTCATTTTATAGTCCCAATCAACAGGGGAGTAGCACCTGAGAGCAACAGATGCTAGAGACCTTGGAAGCTGGTCACCAAAGCAATAAAGAGCTATGAAGTTTATTGAAGCCTCTTTTTATCTCCAGAAGTCTAAGAGGTCACCAACAGAATAATACCAAGGACTTCATTAAAATAAACTCATGGTGGGAAATAAGAATTTTAAAAAGAAGCAAACAGTTCCCTATTGTTCCATCAACTGATAGTAACAGGGACGGGAGATAAGAAAAATACTTGCTCTGACTTGGGGCCCTGGTCAGGAAAGGCACTGGAAAATCTGCTTCTCGGAATTTCTCTTTGTTTCCCAGTACTGCATACACATCGAATTAGATTTGTTCTCCCAACACTTCTTATTTCCTAATGGCCAGCGCTGAAAGGTCTATTTGGCCCTTGAAAGCTGTGGCTGTTTTGCCTGAGACACCCTCGCCAACCATAAACATCTCAGAACTCAGCTATTACTTCTATCAGTGTCATAAAAGACTCTGCTCTTGCACATTTCCTGTCTGCCACTCCACCATCACTGCAGCACCAGGAATTCTAGAAACAGGCATTCTGCAAGTGTACGTGAAACCGCGTCCATCCCCGGGCACAGAGCCCTGATCAGTATGTTGGAAATGCTGGATAGGGTGTGCCAGCCCTGGTCCCCCCTTTTTCTACACGTATATGTAAAGTGAGAGATATAGTCGCCATAGGAAAGCTACTTGCGCCCGCTTACTACCCTTCTAAGTATGAAGGATGGGTCAACCACCTACCCCATAGATTGCAAAAGCTTGGAGGGAGGGCAAAGACTGCTTCTACGATTTGTACAGAAACTACTGCAAAGGGTAATTTGAGGGGGGCCTCTGGACACTGCTGCAATGCAAACAAACAAGCAGACAAAAGCAATTAGTGTACAGATTTGTGTTGGAAGACACATAGAGCAGGCACTGTAGTAACAAGATGCTACTGCTACATAATTGCTTTTCTGACCATACCCAGACTCAGTTTAAATCACAGAAATCAGGGATGGAAAGACTTATTAGGTCTTCTAGTCCATTCCCCTGCCAGTGCAGATGACTGTAAGGAGGTAACTGCTCTTCTGCATCAGATAAAAAAAAATCTATTGCTCCAGGCAGCATGTGGGGTCTGGCTTCCATCCAGCATCACAGTTTTAAACAAAAATATTGCTAGAAGTTCATTTTGGTCAAAACCCCACAAGTCTCATGACAGATGCAGACCTTGAGCTTTCCTGTAATCGTTGCAATAATCTTGCCAGACACATACACACGCACGTATGCACGCACGCATGCACGCACTCACACACCTCTCAGCAAAGCTAAGGATGAAAATATCTGAAAACAAATCTAAGGTTAAAAACTGCGAGCACGAGTACGTTACTACTATGACTGTCCAAAGCGCTGTGCTAAAGAAAATAAAACAACAGCAAAGCTTCCAATCTCTAAAAAAACACAGAGCCAAAGGAAGAGGAGTCAGCACTACTCATGCATTGTAAAAAAAACAAAACTGACACAAGATTTGCATAGAAAAACTCATTTTGCAGCTTTTCCTTCTCCAGATGGCACTGGATACCCTTGGCCCTCCATAAATTTAGAATTGGTCATATTTCCCCCATGCAGGTTTACAGGTGTATGCTAAACACCATGGTCAGTAAGGGGCCTTCCGAACTGACCTTCTATGCCATTTACTTTCTTAAAAAAAACATAGAGGAGTAAAATCAGAATACATATCTAAGCTAACACAGTGAGAGTGGGCTAGTATTAAAAAAGTGGTAATGTTTCCACCACTTGTCATTATATTTTATACAAAAGAAAGTTTTAATATATGAAGATGTGATAGGATAAAAATATAATTACACGGGATTTTTGGCAGTGAAGTAACTGATGTTGGAACTCAGTTTTGACAGCTCTCTGAATCTAAAAGGCCTGTAAGTACTAAAATGTCATCTGTCTATCCATATGAGATTTAGCTTTGGCAGTATTTCAAGAGGAAAAAAATCATATATATAATTTTCCCTCTCTACATTTTTTTCAAAGCAATGTAAGAGGCCATATTCTCTTGAGAAGTAGAGTAGGAGGCTTATGTTACAGAAACATTTGCAGAAAAAGAAAATACTGCTAGGTTTGAATAGGCACAACAAGCAAACACAATTGGCCTAATTGTAGGTTAAAGCACAAGGGGTGGAACGTATCAAGAGTTCATATTTACAGATGCCAAATCATTTCTTCAAAATTTTGTGACTCGATCTGCTAAAGCTAAATGAATCAAATGGTCTGCAAGTGTACCTGAGTTTCTCAATGCAAGTTGGCCTATTAAAGGAACTGATTACCAGCCTGAACTTTCAACTTTTATTGCAAACTACTTCACAGACCACTTTGGAAAATGGAGCGCCTGGCCCATAGGTCCATTTTTTTAAATGCTTAAGCTGAGAGAGAGACGGCACACATGAGAGCAGGCTTGGGAAGTGCTCATTTCTGACCTCAGGCTGTCTTCCAAAACGGCAAAAGTTGTCTAAGCCATTTCTGATATATCTTAGCTTTGGCCTTTTTCAACAGCCACAGGAGTATCAGTGCCCCACGAGAGCTGGAAATATACAATCAATCAGACACCCCTAATTAATTTTCTGATAATGAAAAAATAAATACACTCTAACTGATGTAAAAACACATACATTAAAAAGACCATTCGAGTCTTGTGAAAAAGCTGCATGAATCTACTGTAGTTTCTAAGTCAATCCAACTGTGAGGAATTCCATCAATTGTGCTCAGCTGATAAAGACATTAAAATAACAAGAAGTTATGATATATAATCCTCTCTCTAAGTACTTACACATTCTTGGATTTGAATGCTTCAGCAAAGTGCTGCACACTGTGAAGAGAAGCGAGGTCTAAGGTCATTGCTTCTACCTTGGCTTTATGCTGGAACAAGAGAAAATAAAATTAAAAAAAAAAAAAGATAAATAACAGCAAGTTTAGTTCACAGTATCGTGTTACAGTAAATGTGTTATGGAACATGTCTGATTCCCTTGGTTAACATTAGAAGCCCACAGCAAATATAAATCATCAAACTGAATGGACAAGCGCGACACTCAATGCCAAGTGCTGTATTCTAACTTTGTGGTTCTGCTAACACAGACTGTATGCACGGTATACCTTTACATAACACAAGGAATTCACACCCAACAGTTTTAAGGTTAATGTGATCTTCTCTTCCTTCCATTTGGCTAGTGGAATTTGTGAGGATGCAAATCATGGAATAAAAAACTAAAAAGCAAAGCAAGCAGTATTGTGTAAAATCATATGCATATTTAATGTACTATAACAACAGGGAAAATATACAGTGGATAAATACTTCAAAACATTCAGATTTTAATTCAACCTTGCACATATTTGTCCTGAGACAGACTGTAGCAGCTGACAGAGAAGCAGCAAAAAAATTAAAAAAAAAAATAAAAATCAACATTTGTTCAGCAAAGAGTATTTTACACAAGTTTAACAGGACTGCGAATGCATCTTCAGAGAAAATTGCTCATGCTCCTAAAGCCAACTTTCCAGAGAATAGAGCTAGAGGCAACACTCCAAAAGGTGCAAGCTCACCAACATTTGCTAATGCTATCCGTCAAAATGACCCTCAATATCATGCTCAGTTCAAAGTCCTTTATCTGTACCTCAACTGAACTATTTTGACTTCGAGCCTCCGTGAAAAACAAGGCAAAAATGTTACCTTGTGGCCAACAGCCCTCGCAATCTATTTTTACTGGAAAACAGGAAGGATGATGGGCACCCCGGTGCTTAAATTCAAGCAGGCTGTGGCTCCTTTGAGCTACTGATGAAAAGTTTCTTTCTGACTTCCCAAAACCATTTTTTATTCCCAACTTGCCTCCTATAAATACACAATGGGCATGCTGATCATGAGCAGAAGTACAAGAAAGAAGATCGAACATGGGGATACACTGCAGTCATTTGGGAACTTAATGCTGGATTGGAAAAACACTGGTAGCCCACGGGGACTTCCGAGTGATGGGCTTTATGAACATCAAGACATGGTAAAGTGGGTGCAGTTTTTAGCAGTAAAGATAGTAGAAAGTAGTGGTTCTCGATATTTTTAGACTTGAAGCACCCCCCATTATACTCAAGTCACCCTTCCATACTTTTTGTGAACTGAGCAGCACTCCACTTCAAAAACTAACATATCTAGTACAGTGCCTACCACCTTGCAGAGAGGCCAAGTATTGGAGGGTGGGGAAACGGCCAAGCAGGGAAGAGCCCGAGCTTGTGCTTATCTACTTATCTCCTTGCATCTGGCTTATCTGCCCACACCTTGTGGCACCCTTTAAAGGATCCTGTGGCTTCCCAAGCTGCCCCGGCACCCTGGTAGCGAATCACGGGCCCAGAGGGACCTTTTTTCACAAGCAGCAGCAAACACAAGTGCTTCCAGTGTCTCCAGCTTCAAAACCCCCCACTGACTTCCCTGATTCACTTTCTTCTACTTGCAAGCACCCATCCTGCCTATTACAAATAGGACTGCATGTGATATTTCTCAAGTTCTTATGTCTCCAGTCTTATGTAAAACTAATGTTTCCAATGGTCCACTTCTCAGCAGGCAATATGAGTTTCTTATGTTAGAAAGAGCTAAAAATAACTGTTTCAGAAACGGTCTTAACACTGCACCCTCAAAAGATGCACTTACAAAAACGCGAATTCATTTTGCCCCACAGGTGATTTTTTTTTTTTGTTCAAGATTCAGAAAATCAGTGAGTCAGTGATAGCCCACATAACTCAGTATTCCTCAGCTGCAACTCTTCTTCTACTGTACACTCCCAAGTCGTTTACTTAGTAGACATTTGGGTTCAGTTGTGTTGTTCTTTTCTTTTTTCCCTTTTTTAACTGAAACATTTTGCTACCTTTTCCAAGGGGAAAAGAACAAGAATACTACAAACACAAGGACAGGAGGTCAAAAAACCTTCAAGTAGTTCAACAGACTAAACCACAAGCTGTTGGTTGCTATGGTCCTGGGGATGGTGATTCAAGTCCACACACTGGTACTCAGGTAATGCTCTTGCTCTGGGCATCAGGTTTCCAGTTTCTGCTACTGAGTCCAAGCATGGAGAGGAAGTGCCTGCAATATTACAAGGCCAGACGAAAAACATGAGGTACCTCCAGTTTACCTTTACAAGCAGAAATTCACTGGAGTAATTAGACTAGATATACTGTAGGTGTACAAAGGACAGTTTAAAAAGCACGAATAAAATATTAAAAATGACAAATGGCCAATTGTTATACTTAGATAGCAAATGCAAGCTACAAATACGGGTTTCTACTCTGCCAGTTCAACCAATGAACTGAGACCAGCATCTAATCACAATCCATTCTCCTCAGTCAGTACAATCAAGGACCCTTTATTTCAAACAGTTTAACTTACTTGCTCTTTTGCTGCTTTTTTAGGTTTGATAGACACAAGGTTAGAGAGAAAGATAAAAGTCAATGGAAACATTTCTGGAGTAATTCAAGGAGATATTTCCAAAATATCCCAAGTGGAAAAAATACATCTGAGTGCGTGTGAGAGCTAAAGCAACACAAAGCATATTTTCTCCTATTTTTGCAAGATCGGGGCTGCTACACCACAACTGGCAGAAAGGATCATTTGAGACTGTGTATCAAATTAAGTACACATTTGGGGAGAGGAAACAGGCAGCACAACAGTTCAAACACGACGAGCATCCCAAGCCCATTGTTTTTTTTTAATATATTGGAATGCAAGGGAAAATCCTGACTAGAAAGAAAGATTAACAGAGGGAGAAGCCCCAGGAATGCAGCATTAGATACCCAAGTCAATCATATACTCAATAGTTTTCACACCACATCTCAGCTCTAATCGATGTACTGTATATTTTCATTGTAGCTTCTTTTGACTAACGTTGCTCTGACACCTTCTTGTGCCTATGCACACCTCTTCCATCTTCTCCTCCCCACTGCTGCCTGATGAACACTGGTTACTTGGTACGACTGTGGCATCCTTCTCCAGTGGGATTATGATACCAATGACAACCTGGCCTATCAACCACCTTCCTCCACTTTTTCTTCTGATTTCATTTAAACGCAACTATTGCAGGGCTTAAAAAATCCTAGCAGGGGTGTCAAAAGCAGTTTGATTTTTTTTTGGGTGGGGGGGGCAGGGGGTAGAACAAAAATAACTGTGTTGCTGTATGCCATCTACAGGAAATAACAGAACCAAGACCCACAGAACTGTAGCGTTTCCTGCACACATGCTTAAATAAAAAGGCTAACCAACTGACTGTCACGTGAATTGGAAGCACGGGAGCTCTCTCCAAGTGGTAAGCAATTAAGATACCAATGTATTCACTACCCTTCTGCAACCTTGGGCACCTTACTTGACTTCTCTGTCTCGATCACACAGAACTGGGATAACAATCCCCATCTCACAGAGGTTTGGGGAGGATTATAAGAGGCATGAAGCACTAGAGAAATAGTATTTGAAAACTTTCGACTCATCTTTTCTAAGTTATATAAATAAATAAAAAAATACAGGGCTACACACTTAGCCGGCTAGCAACGTAAAACTATCAGCTGCACTGGTAAGTGTAGCCTTCTTCTACAGTAGCTCAGCATTATTTGTGTCACGCATAATGTTTTTCCTTCTTCTGCATGCATATGTAGCACGCATAATTACATTTATAAATGTACTAAAAGAGAAAACATATTTTTGCTAAAAGGCATCATAACTATAACTATAATCCACAGTCAGAACTGATTGTTAATGGCATGCTGCAAATTCTGATCTAATGTGTCATAATTTTATTATGCTGATGTCTCTCAGCATTCCACTTTACATATTTTCAGCACTGAATTATGCCTCATTTTATGTGGTGAAATCTTAAATGGGACTTGTCACTTTCCCAACTGCAAGAGACACTGGAGCTTAACACTGACACCATAACATTAATTCACTAAAGCAGAAAAGAAAGCTGCAGAAAATGTTTTTATTTAATGAATCAATAAATGACATTAATGCTCCCTCTACTACTTAATTCTCAATTAAATAATATTAAAGGGAGGCTGGATAACATAGGGGATTTGGAGCAGTTTAGGGAGCATTTCACCTCTAAATCACAGATCGCTACCTAACGTTTGACAGCCTGTACCGAACGAGCTGGTGCCCTAAATACAGTTCTCAACGGACAGATCTTCACTGATATCACCCAAACCCCATCCCCCCCTTTTTTTTTAACCAGTCTAATTCTTTATGTCAATTGCAATAAAGAGGACGAGGACTGAACGGGCAAAATGTCTTGTGAACTGTCCTCAGAAAAGACAAGGGGTTGAATAGTATGGAACTTAAAAAGCTTAAACTGTTTCTCTGCAGAGTCTGACTAAAAATACGTCAATTAGTGTCAACGGAGGTGGCAGTCGGAGGGGAGAACTCTTGACCTTGAGGCTAACTTGTATAATACCGAGACTGCTAACGTGAACGTGTATTTCAGTTCGGCCACCAAACAGACGGTGACACTAACTTTTCGCTCGCTGCTGTGCTGGGCCATATTGGAATCAATCACCACGGGGCTGGTCCCCTAAAATACACAAGAGTGGTATTTTTTAAAGTGTGCACAGAAACCCCTTTCAGTAGTAAAGGGGAAAGACATTTGCTTTATTCTTAATGATTTTATGTATAGTTCTAAAATAATGTTATCAATATTTACACACAACTGTTCAGCTGTTCTGAGGATAAATTGCCCTGGGTGAGACTTTACTGAATTTTGCATGTAAGCTACGCCCAATATGCAGGAAAAAACTATTAAAAATGCTTAAATATAATTGGCAGTATTTTTCACTCTTGCTAGAAAAATGCTTATTGAGCCAGAAACTAACAAAAGAGTGAAAACACCCACAAAGCAAGCAAT